CTGGGACAGCACGGGGGGACAGTGTGCCATGGTGTGAGAGCCTCAGGGTGACAGTGTGCCATGGTGTGAGAACACAGGGTGACACTGTGCCATGGGGCAATGAAGGCCTGGGACAGCACGGGGGGACAGTGTGCCATGGTGTGAGAGCCATGGGCACCATGTCCCACAGGTGTGACAGCCACGGGCACTGTGTGTGCCCCATCAGTGTGAGCAGTGTCCCCTCAGTGTAAGCAGTGTCCCATCGGTGTGAGCAGTGTTCCATGGGCGAGCAGTGTCCCCTCGGTGTGACACCCATGGGCACTGTGCCCCATCGGTGTGAGCAGTGTCCCCTCGGTGTGAGCAGTGTCCCATGGGTGTGAGCAGTGTCCCCTCGGTGTGACAGCCTCGGGCACTGTGTGTGCCCCATCAGTGTGAGCAGTGTCCCATGGGCGTGAGCAGTGTCCCATGGGTGAGCAGTGTCCCCTCGGTGTGAGCAGTGTCCCATGGGTGAGCAGTGTCCCCTCGGTGTGACAGCCTCGGGCAGGGCACTGGGCTGGGTGGGGAGGCTGTGCCGCTGCTCCCCAGGGAAATATGCAGAGTGCATTTTGCTCTGCAGCCCTGCCCAGCCCGTCCTGTCCCTTCCTGCTGCCCGGGTGCCACAGCACAGGGCACTGCCAGCCCACCCAGCCCAGCTCACCTGGCTCAGCACGGCCTGGGCTGGGCTCGGGGCTCCTCTGCAGCCTCACCTGCTCAACAGGGCCACTACAGAATTAGCACATCCAATTAGTGTCCCTCAGCTTAATTCCTTTTCCGTGAGTGGTTTTTGATTGTGTAATGCTGCTTTTTTTAGCAGAGTTATTCCCAATTTACTGAGGTGCAGAAGCAATACCGGCCTCTGTTACTTGTTAGATAACTGCAGTTATATATTAAATGTGTGTTATGGATAAACTCTGCGGGACACCCTGGGCTCACACCTTTCACTTCCAGCCCAGGATCTGGCCCTTGGTGATTTCTGAGATTTTATTCCCCAGTACTTCTCAGAATGCTGTGTGCCAAAGTGAAAACAACATTGGATTTGGTTGTGTTTACATGGAGAATTTTCCATGGCAATCCATCACAAGTGAAAATTGAAGCTGCATTTAACTGCACTGAGTTTGTAGTGCAGTAGCCAGGACACACTGCTGGGGTGAGCAGGGTGGGAAAAAACTCTCAATTAACAGGACCAAGACTGGAGACAGGACCCCTGGAGCTGGGGGGAGAGGGCCCTTCCCCTTCCTGCTGTCTGCAATTAAAGCAGATTTAAACCTCTACCATTCAAAGCAATTACATTTCTATATTTGTCTCCTCAGACCAAATTCACCCTCCTGCTGTCTCCTCAGGAGCTGAGGTGGCTCTTTGGCCCTTGCCCCTGCCTGAGTTCCAGGCTCTGGAACCCTCTGGCAGAGTGAGGGGAAGGGACAGCAAAAAGCACAAACAGCACAGAGGATCCAGAGTGGTTTTCTCTCATTTTTCCTACTCTGGTTCTGGTCCAAAAGTTGTTGCTCATGTGACGCCAGCCCCCCTTGCCATAAAGATAAATGAAGTGGATTAAGAGATTAGCTCATCACAGAGAAAATTCCACCCTCCTAATCTCCTGCTGGGCCTGTAATCTGCAAGACTTCCCCATTTTACCTTTTTCTATTTTAACCTGAACTCTTAATGCCTGGCAGGAGCCCAGCGCCCCTCCAGCCTCATTGGCTGGGGAGGGATTTGCTGGGTGCTTAAATGCCACCTTCCCTGCAAGGAGGGTTCTGTGCTTTTGGGTTTGCAGCAAGAGGAGCCTCCTGCGTCCATCCCTGCTGGGATCTGTACAGCACCAGGGATTTCCTGATGCCCTGACCCTGTGCTGCTGGGGACATCGAAGGCAAGAAGCACAATTGTGAGATTGTTTTATTTTCCCTAAATCTCACAAACACTCCGTTTTTGGCCGCAAAGGGCCCCGCAGCCGGTGTGGAGATGGGGAACATGGACGGGAAAACCGTGGAGGAGCTGAGCACCACCGAGTGCCACCAGTGGTACAAGAAGTTCATGACAGAGTGTCCTTCTGGACAGCTCACCCTCTACGAGTTCAAACAGTTTTTTGGCTTGAAAAACCTGAGTCCGGCAGCGAACAAATACGTTGAGCAAATGTTTGAGACGTTTGACTTTAATAAGGTAAATATTGTCCTTCCCACTGGGCCGTGCAGGGCTGGGCTGGCTGGGAGGGAGGGAGCAGAACCTGCTCTGGGTATGTGCAGCCTGGTTCACATAAAGTGTGGAATCGGTTCTGGAACGTGAGAAATGCCAGCAGGAACCCTCACCCACTGCCTGCCCTGCAGGGACACGCAGGCTTCTCCCAGAACTGGCATTTTCCTTCTGGAACAGGGGGGCTCTATCTGGCAGCCTTTGATCCCTTTAAAATGAAGTGCCCTTTAATCCCTAAACACTGAATGTTGTGACAGTGGCTGTGAGGACAAGGGCTGCATTCACTGAGTCCCCAGCACGGGCTGGGGCTGCTTGAGCTGTGGGAAACTGGAAACTGTGAATGGATTGCACTGGGATTGGTTTTATTCATGGGAGAAGGAGCTTGGAATCCCTGGGGAGAGGGATTTGCCTCAGCAGGGATTGGGGAATGGAATTCCAGAGCAGGGATTTGGGAATGCAATCCCAGAGCAGGGATTGGGGAATGCAGTTCCAGAGCAGGGATTTGGGAATGCAGTTCCAGAGCAGGGATTTGGGAATGTAATTCATGAGCAGATTTTTGGGAATGCAGTCCCAGAACATTGGGATTTTTGGGAAGCAGGTGGATGCTGTGTCTCCAACAGGAAACTGCATCCTCCTCTGCTTGCAAATGACCTGAAATTGCACCTCCTGTGAGGTGAGGAATCTATTTTATGGCAACCCAAAGGGCTTATGGCATTAATCCCATTGACAAAAATGCAAATCGGGCCCTAAACCCTTCAGGTGTTTGGTTGGTGCCTTGGCCTTTCCCTTGCTCACTGCTGTTTGAATGCCTGCCTGAAAGGGGAATTGATGCACAGGAAATCCTGCTGGGAAAGGGCTTAGCAGTTATTTGTCCCTAATCTGGCTGCTGCAGCCCTGGGATCAAGCAGATGATCTCTGCAAGGTCCTGGCCCCGGGGCAGTGCCTCTGTTCACTGACAAACCCTGGCTCATGCTCTGTACTGGGAATCATGGAGTCACTGGGGGTGGGAAGGGCCCTGGGATCCCTGAGCCCAGCTGCCACCGCGGGTTCACCATGAACGTGTCCCCAGTGCCACAGGAGCCCTTGCAGGGAAGTGCCACAGACCACAGCAGGGCAATGGATCCTTTCAAACACCGTGGGAAGGCTCTGGGGTGGGCAGGAGGCATTTTAACAACCCCCTGGCAGCTGTGGGTGTCACAGGCTCCTCTGGGGGCACTTTGGTGCCCGTGGGCTCAGGGCAGCAGCTCTGCAGTGCTGCCACCATCCTGGCTGCAGCTGGGCACCCAAACCATGGCACCAGCTGGGGTGGGCAAACACCCAGCAGGAAAGTCAAAGATAAAAGTGTTTGTGCTCCAAACGTGGAGCGGGCACAGCAATGGCACAGGGACAGAGGAACCCCAGCCCCAGATGTCACAGCGTGCTGGGGTCACCCCTGAGTGTGCTCCTCTCCTGGGATGGGACCCCCGGCAGGAGAAAGGAGCTGAGGGTGTGTGCAGGCAGGATGGGGCTGGGGGATTTATCTGGGCTCATCTGCATAAACCTCTGTGATCTCTGAATCCCCTGCTTTGGGCTGGTAATTAATGCCTGGTGTGTTAATTCCCCGAGCCAGGCCAGCTCTGTCCCTGAGCCACATCCACCAGCCAGTCCCACCCCTAACGGTGCAAGGCTGGGCTTGGTGATCTGGGAGCCTTTCCCAGCCTTTATGGCTTTATAATTCTATCATTCTACAGCATTTCTGCCCAGATTCAGGCAGAACCTTGGCTTTCACCACTGCACTCCACAAGCCCCTGGTCTCAGGGTGGAGGTGAAGTTCCAGGGGGAACTTCAGAAGCGACCAAAATAATCCTTTATTGCCTGACTCTGCTTTTAATCTCAGCTTGTAACCTTCTGCCTTTAGGATGGCTACATCGATTTCATGGAGTATGTGGCAGCCCTGAGCCTGGTGCTGAAGGGCAAGGTAGACCAGAAGCTCAGGTGGTATTTCAAGCTCTACGACGTGGATGGCAACGGCTGCATCGACCGGGCGGAGCTGCTGAACATCATCAAAGTGAGTGGGGACAGCTCCCCCATCCCTGCCCAGATGGGCCCTGGGTGCGGGGGCTGCAGCAGGAACTTCCAGCCATGAACGCCATGGTCAGCTACAGAACTGCCCAAAGCTGCTGCTGTGCTGTGCCAGCTGTGCCAGCTGTGCCAGCTGTGCCTCCAGCACCCCTGTCCTGCCCTGGCAGCTTGCTTAACCCTGGGCACTGAAACCAGGGCTGAGATAAGCACCTCAATTTAATCTGAGGGTTTTCAGAGGTGAATGGCTCCTGGCTTATCCCAGCATGCCCAGTAAATCTTGTAAAGCATTGATGGCCTTTTTGGGTGATTTTAATCTCCAGCCTTTCAGACAGGACTCACTCCTTTCCAAGCCTAACTGCCTGAAAACAAGTTTTAGCCCTGAAAAAGCATTTGGCCTTTAGTGTCTGGTGATTTGGCCAGTTGTTCTGATGGACACCCACCCCTGCAGAGCTCTCAGTAACTCCTGTGCCCTCGCTCCCCCCAGGCCATTCGCTCCATCAACCGCTGCAACGAGAAGATGACGGCAGAGGAGTTCACAGACATGGTGTTCAACAAAATCGACATCAATGGAGATGGTGAGGCCCCTCCTGGGCTCTGCCCTCCCTTCCCTGAGCCCCAGGACACCAGGCTGGGAGAGCTGGCAGAGGGTGGCTCCCTGTGCAGGCTGAGCCCCCCTCCTACCCTGGCTCTGTGCTGGGCTTTGGGCACAAGGCAGGCACTGAGCCCCCACTGCAGGCTCTGTGCCAGTCCTGGTACAGGGAGCTCTGGGGCTGGGGGTTTAACAGAGCTCTGTGCCCTGCAGGCGAGCTGTCCCTGGAGGAGTTCATGGAGGGCGTGCAGAAGGACGAGATGCTGCTGGACATCCTGACGCGCAGCCTGGACCTGACCCACATCGTGAGGCTGATCCAGAACGATGGCAAGAACCCGCACGAGGCCGGGCAGGACGCCCAGGCTGCCCAGTAGCTCCCTGGGCTGTGCCTTGGCCTCCCCTGGCACTGCCACTGATCGGCTGTGCCTGCACTCCCTGCTGACAGAACTGTCCCCTGGGCACGGGGACCGGGGGGACACCCCTGGGTACCAGAGGAGAGGGGTGCAGAGCTAAATAACTCAGTGTCCATCCCACACGGAGCTGGGATGGCTCTGGACACTCTGCTGAGCTCAGAGAGGGGACAGCCAGTGCTGCACGAGGCTGTGCAGAACAGGAGCTCACTGAGAGCACCCCAAAATTGCCACCAANGCCAGAGGGGACAGCCAGTGCTGCACGAGGCTGTGCAGAACAGGAGCTCACTGAGAACACCCCAAAACTGCCACTGAGGCCGTGGCCAGCACCCCCAGAGGGGTCCAACCAGCACTTGGCCCCGTGAGAGGGGTCCTGGAAAAGCAGATCCAAACCTTCTCCTTCCATTTGTATTTCCAGAGCAAGCAATCTCCAGTTCTGGTCGCTCCTTCCTTCACTCATTATGTGGTCAGCAGTGAGCAGTGATAATGTGAGATAAAACATTTGTGAGCTAGCACAAGGGGAGGGGTGAATGCAGTGGCTTTTCTTTGTTTAAAAGCACTAAAAACATGGAATGGTGCCTTTTTCTAACAACCCCCTGGACTGTAAGGAAATGCTTCTCCCTGAAGCATCTGCAAGGAAGGAAGGAAGGAAGGAAGGAAGGAAGGAAGGAAGGAAGGAAGTGCTTCCAGACAAGCAGGACCATTTTCCTGACCATTTTCCTGGGTGTCTTTTTCACTGGACAGAGTTTTACCTGGAAGCTTTTGTACTTCCAGTCCTACGGTGAGCTAATAAAGATGTTTTACAATATTATTTCAGGTCGTGCTTCTCCTCTCTTGCAATCAACCCTCCTGTTTCCAGCAGGACAGATTTAGTGGCCCACACAAGCACAGAAACAGCTGCTCTGGGGTTGTTCTGGGGCTCACAAACCACAGCACCCTGGACGGGAGCCCTTGATGGTAAATTTGTCCACGCTCAGCCCTGCAGGAGGGAGCAGCTGTACCCTCATTGAGGTGGGCTGAGCTGTTACTCACAGCGTAATGTCAGATCCTAGAGCAATACAGCAGTGTAATGTAAGATGCTAATGCAATACAGCAGTGTAACTCTCCTTCTTGCAGCACAACCAACTCCCCCACAGGTGACCAGCACCAAACCCAGAGCCCTTTGGCCTTGGCACAGCACGGGGAGGGAGCTGAGCTCAGCGTGGGCTTCCTGGGCACCTCCCTGGGCACAGACAGCATCAGCTCTGCCAGAGCTTCCCTGAGCTCCCCTCTGAGCCCAGGGGGCTGCAGGAAGGGGCTTTGGGCAGCCAGATCTCCAGTTATAAAGCCAAAGTTGTTCTAAAAGTTGTCACACCCTGTCCCGCCCCTGTCCCCATCTCTGTGCCACGCCATGCCGTTATCCCATTCCCATTCCCATCCCATCCCATCCTACCCCATTCCCATTCCCATTCCATCCCT